TAATGAGTAGTTTGGCAGATTGATGATTTTAGATGAAACCCAACTGTCAAAGGTCATGGCTTCGGCTGGATTCGAACCAGCGACAGAAACACCAAACCTCTACGCGGCAAGAGCCCTAACAACTGAGCTGGATTCCAGCGTGAACTGTTCGAGAAATCCTGCCGGGGCAGTCGATCCCTTGGATCGTTTGGTGGATTCCATGTGAGACAGTTGGACGGGTGGGTAACCTAGTCCAAATGTGAAATTTCCGAGCTCCTAGCGTGGCTTCGTAACTCAGCTGGTAGAGCGTTTGTCGCGTAGAGACACGGTGATCCTGTCGCTGGTTCGAATCCAGCCGAAGCCATGACCTTTGACAGTTGGGTTTCATCTAAAATCATCAATCTGCCAAACTACTCATTAGGAAATCGTACGGTTCCAAGTCATTCTATCAGCCTCCAATGTCAGGTTTTGTGGTCGATCCGGTGGAAAAGTTGCACTACTGCGCGACAGGACACTCAACGTTGAAATTGCAAATCCTGAAGATAAAGCGTTGTAGTCCACGGGGTTATCAGCGCAAGAATATGGACATTTTGGCTGCAAACCGTCATTTGTCCTATGAATCGAACCGAACTGAAGTGGAACAGTTCTCTAATGTGGCGACTGATGACGGCCGGCAAGGATTCGACAGCCAGCTTTTCAAGCTTTGTTCTCGAGCCTCCCTTAGACAGCAGTTCTTTTTTTATAGAATTGAGAATCACTGGGAAAGTCTTCCTTCTTTGGTCGCTAGCAGCACTTGTAGATATCGATTTAAAGCATTGCATGATCCCCATTTGCATGAAGCATCTTCATGCAAATAAGCTTACTCCGTTCTCAATATCCACTGTAATCCCCGAAGACGGCGCTATACTCTGTTTTCATTGTCTGTCTTCGACTAGAATTGTGCACTTAGAGCGTCTGCTTGGAACCTCCTGTGTCACTGAATCGCTGTCATTTAAATTAGCAGACGCCTGCTGAGTATTTTGAAAGATAACCTGACATAAACCGGATAATTTGGATCACCAACCTCGATCTCTTATAATGATAGATGGAATCGCTATGAATCGTTGAAATCTGAACCGAATTTGAATTTTTCATTGTAGTGGAGGCGGTCCGTTCGAGTTTTGCGCTTCCTTTGGATTTTACCGAATGGCGAGTTCGAGTACGGCACATGGCTATTACTGCCACAGCTGTGAAGCAGAAGTCGACGCAAATTTACAAGTATTGTCGTTAAGTTTCTGTGTCTACGCTTGTAGGATTTTACCTGCTCAAATTGCCGATCCGGTTTCATCGAGGAAGTCAACCGAGAGTTTGTTCATCTTTGTTCTTTTTGACCATCCTTTCTTACAGTGTTAACAGTGGCGCCTTCTTTACATCAGTAAGCTTTGCTATCCACATTCATATTTGATTCAGCAGGGCCTTGGACCAGAGCATTTGATGCGATCATTTTTGGAAGAGTTGTCCCCGTTTGCCAGCGTTCCTTCAAGTAGTGAACCCGAAGATGAGACTATGCTTGACGATTATGACGAGCCCCATCCAAGAAGGAGTGGTCGCCGGTCAGGGGGCAACAGACATTCCAACAATGTTGAACGCATTACTGTTAGGTTCCCATCTCAACCTGTCCTTACGCCCACTGTTCGCTTGTCCTCCTCTGGTAATCCCTTACTGATGCACTTCATATCTGGTTTGAACCCATTGCAAGGTGACATCCGTAATTATGTCCTCAATCAAGGTGGGTTTGGTTATTGTTTCATTCTTACTATGCTAGCCATTCACTGTAGCTTGATCCATTCAATAAGTCTAGTTTAAAATGTGATACATGGTTTCAACGGGAATCATGTGCTTTTAATGGCCGTGGTAAACACGCATGGAAAATAGGGTGTACCACCAAAATAAGGTAGTGGTCCTTCCCCAGACATGTTATGAGATATTTTCTAACACTAGTTTTCTTCTGTTATCTTTGTAGATTTGAGTAGACGCTTTTCAATCTTTGTTCATTTCTTTTTCTATTCTTACGTGGTCTTACTGTTTTGAGAGGTCGGTCCTTGAGGACATGACTGTCGGACGTCGTGCTTTTACTTTTTTCTCCGCAGTACGTTTCGGTAATACCTGGAAACTTGTTGAGTACTGATGGCCTCGCTGACCTACACTCCGTCATTTTAATGGCCTTTACAACCTCAGGGTTGGTATCGACGCATACGCGTATGTTGTGTTTCACACAACTACGCTCCATACGATAGAGTGCGTGCATTAAGGTAACCTGGAAGGAGGTTGGTTCCAGATCATGTCTCCATGGTTGAAAAAACCTGCAGGCGTGAGGGTTTCACTTGTGGATAATTTTCCCGTGCTCCTTAGGGCGGTTTGTGGTTAGGAGAATAAGGTACGACACTGCATTACGGCTGCGTTTAATGTAGCTGGTACAAGTTTGGTTTGTCAAAGCAAATTTACTCTGAATGATTGATTTATCCCTGCACCAGTTTCGTAACAGGCCGTTCGGTATTGGTAATATTTTTTTCAATCCGAAGTCTTCAACGTGTTTAACCTATTCTGACGTGAGCTGGATATCAATATTAGTTTCTCTGCCCGAAGGTACCTGTAACCACACATCGCAGAAGTAACAAGATCATCGATGCATGTGGTAAATGTTCTCCAAAGTCGAATAGCTTTTGTCGATTAGGCCTTACTTCTGGTTTTGTTTCGGAGTGAACGAAACATCCCAGTACCGTGAAGGGCAAAAGCCTGAGTAGTTACCAAAGGACACAGTTGCTATCTGTGCATAGGCACCAGTCTTAGCGTTCGTGTCGACCACGAGAAGGCTTGGGTCATGTGTCTTTATACAACGGGACTTTCAAGAATTATATCCGAAAGATATATGCGTAGGGAATATGGGGAGAACTGGCCAAACACAGAACCTTGTGGTACATCAGATTTAATTGGATGAGGATGTACACATATACATTGTCACACAAGTCTAAAATAGACCGAATGTCAGTCCGGGACTATTGAACGAAGCAGATCATGTTGGAAACATAGAAGAAAACCTACGGAAAGGTGTACAATGATAACAAGGAGGAGAAAGTTTACTTTATCGGTTTCATAGTGCACACACCTTCCAAATCTGTGGCATGCCGGGGTGTTGAATTTTGATAAGTGGTTTAATAGGGACGCACCATTGCGATCGAGTTGTTATATTCAACTTTCCAACCATCGCGCATAGCCTTCCTCAGGAGTTGCGTTTGCTTTGTTCAAGTCAACTTGTGTTGCGTTTGAACAAGTTTGACCGAACCTGTGGCTCATTTCTTGCAGGTGAGACTGATGCACACTTGTATCTAGTGTTATTCATCGACTCGCGCCACACTGCAGACGGGTTTGTGGTTGACGCATGCGTTGTGAGTATGAATGGTGATAGATTCAGCACACCATCGCTCTGCGTGGTAAGACAGATTATTATTATTCACTTGAATTTGATCAAAACGTACGGTGTGCTTTCTCGGTAATTCTTGTAGTGCAATAGTCTACTCATCAACTTTTGGGGTTGATGTGCGTCCTCCGGCAAGAGCCGTGCGTGCCTCTTGCGTTTAACAACACGCACTTCCAACTGGCCGCTCGTTTCTTTTATGCATGAAGCATCGCAAACAGTATCTCCGGTTGTTCATGAAGACTGGGTCCTTAGAGTACGTCGCCAGTTGTTCTGTGGTATTATCCACTCGGAAGACCTTTCCGGTACTCCTAAGGAAGCGACTACGTGAAAATTCGAAGCAGTGGTTCCCCGAAATAAATTGAAAAAGGGTCGACCATATAGCTGGAGATGTCTTGTGCATGGGCGTTTCGTTCATATCTCATCTGTTATTACTGCCAAAATATGCAGCCTATATATTGGGCAAATATGACATCACTAACAAAGGATGCGGGCATAATCAGCATGGTCAGAATAATCGAAACTCAGGAACAGGCCTTCAGTCAGCCCAACCTGAAGCAGATAGGCAAACTTGTTCAGGTGGTCGTGGTAGATGGGGAAGTGTCTATAGACACTTTAACTGGATAAGAAACCAGAACTGTTAGAGGAACATCTTACAGAAAAGTGGAAACATTGAAGAACAGTGGAACTTTGTGGGATTGGGACAAAATTACCAGAGTAGAGATAAATTGCCAATCACTTGCTCCTGTACACACAGCACCTAGTTTGTTTAACCAATGGCAACATCCTCAGCAAACCTCAGTCCTTGTTTCGTTCTCGGGCCATATACAATATGAAAGACGTTCGCACCAGAGACCACGTCTCGTATAAGGGTCTCGTTGTTGTATTGCGAGCGAGGTCTGTTCCAGAGATACACAGCTATTAGGGAATGTGTTCACGGATGCACGACTCGTTTACTTTGATGTACATTCGGTGTATTCGCATCTATAAGTACAAATGCAACAACATATTACTTTTGATCTGGCGATCAGGGCGACTCGGTCTTTTTTCATGGAGGTTGGTGGTTGCGTGGTTTACTTACTGACCTTCGTAGTGTTTCTTGTTCGTCTGACTGCGACTGCAGATCTTCGTCTGATTAAAGCTACAATGTCATCTGTAGGTGTCAAACGGATGTGGGCATTTTTCAGGGGAATTGTCATTGTAATAGGTCTTACGCCATCTGATTTGGCGTGTTTCCCGATCAATCGGGGTGTGTAACAGTTACCACTCAGTGTTTCGCGAGGAAGCTGCTCTTCATTTCTTAGCTTGTCGGCTGTGGCAGTGTCATGATTTCTGTTAAATAGACGATGAAAGAAATTGGGTTAAAACTTTTCAAGTGTAAATGTTGCCCGGACAAAGTTTTTTTGTGTTGTTCTCCCAGACAGAGCCATTTATACCTTCATGTCTGTGTTCTTCTGGCCATCACAGCTAAGTTTTGATCGTGCTGGCCCAATAGTTTTTATCTCCTGTTGAGCAAACTTGTCATAGGGTAAGTTGTTCAATGATAAGATTGGTCTAAACGGAACGGCATCGTCGTCATTTTCAGCTCTGTGTTGTACCCGTGCGTCCAATGACCCAGGCCACCGTTGATCCTGACAGTAGTCCACAAGGTTGCAGAGTAATAAACAAGTGTAAATACACGACAAAAAGAGAAAATAAACGAACAGATTGAGTTTCATGAAAAACGGGGAGTCAACGAGGCTGCGGATGCAGACTCGCCCTTAAGTACGACACACTGCCATATCAGAGAATTCCCAACCAGCGGTGTCAGTGATCACGAACCCACCAACCAGGTAGATGACATCTGCCAACCTTGCTCAGCGGAATGGTCGGTGTTTTCGTAGCCGGTCACCACATCGTCGTCTGGCTGC